CCTCCCTTGCTTTTCATTCCGTCTTTCCCCCTCCCTCCTTTCTGTCCCCTCCTCTTTTTTTAATTTTACAGTTTAGTTCAGTCATTACCAATTTCGGGGCGCTTTTCTTTTTCTTACTGATGAAGTTAAAGTTATCTTTAGCATGACAATGAAGTTATAAAATAGAAATTTAAAAAAGCTAGCGTAATATTTGAGGTAAGCTTATCACAATAAAAAGTTATCCGCAATCATACTGCAGCCTCCACAAGTGCACTGCTGTTTTGAACTGTTGAATTAAGGTTAAAAGATGCAGATCTGTTTCTCGCACCAGAGCGATTCCACGATTCTGAAGTACTTCGCAGAATGTACGTAAAAAGGGTCTGCTGTTCTCGCGAAGGGAACGTGAAGTTCGTGACTTCGGCTGTGGGCTGTTACTTGTGCGTGTAGGGTTAGGGGAGCCTCAGACCGAAGTCGTAACGTAGCGAGGTGAGGGCTGTTCTGCAGATGGACCCTGTAGAACATACAACGCCACCACATCCCTGAGGTGCTGAAGAGACTGGAAATAGACCGAGCGATCATTTTCCCGCATCTTAAATTCCAAAAGACGGCGGGCTTGATTTTATACTCTGTCGAGTAGGGCAAGGGAGGATGGCGGGTAGGACGACCATGCCAGAGGGGAATATTCCATCAAGGAGCGAACTTTGTTGAACTGTAGAGAGCATGCAACAACCTGTTGCTGTCTAGAAGATGGGAGATTTGGCGTACGCATGCCAGTTTACGAGCTGCTCCTTTGACCACATCCTTTACGTGACTAGTGAATGCCAACTGGTTATCAAACTGCACTCCAAGGATGCTTATTTCTCTCGTCAGATCATGTTTTCCCATCGACACTAATGGAGGGGTTAGTGGGCTCCGTCGACGGGATTTTAACATGGAATGGGTTTTATCAGGTCCGATGTTACCTGCCAACGTCGGCCCTACAGGTGATGTGTGATAACACATTATTAATATGCTTAGCTGTGGCAGTGCATTCATGTTTTCACATGTAAATGATAACGTGTAGTCGTCAGCATATGCATGGGCTTCTGGAATCAGATGTTTCATTGAAATAGACATTCCACAAGAGCGGACCTATGACGTTGCCCTGCGGTACACTTGTACTGACTGGGTATTCACCTGAAGTGTAGCCATTTACCACAACTCAGAGTTCTTCCTCGTAGATAATCTTTAAACATCTTCAGGGGGTCACCATCAGTGCCAAAACTTTTTAGTTTTGAAATAATGCCTTTGTGCCATACTCTGTCGAAGACACTTGCAATAACCAGGGAAACGACGTGTTTTTTGCCAGCATCAAGGGATTTGTTCCAGCTGGAGACTAATTGTAGTAGTAGGTCGGATGCTGATCTCTTCGATCTAAAGCCAAACTGCTTGCTACTGAGCAAGTGGTTGCTGTCAAAGAAACTTGTCATTCTGTTTACCAGAATTTTTAATAGATTTTGCCTATGATCGAGAGGAGTGAGATAGGCCTGTAGTTTTCAGGGAGTGACTGGCTTTTCTTTTTATACACTGCCACAACTCTAGCCTGTTTCCAGATAGCTGGCCACTTGTGCTGTTGGAGGCAGTTTTGAAATAAGGCAGGGGGCATGAGGACCGAGTTGTGGATGACGAGGTGGGTGAATAGTGGTCAGTGGCCAACCACCAAATCCTGATGGTCTGTGATCTGGACCAGTAGACAGGCTTTGGAGAAGCCACAGGATTTCTTTCTGTTGTAGGTGGCCTCTGAGTTTTGCAGATCCTGTAGCTTAAAGGTCGCCCTCCACCCTGAGGTACTGCACCTCGTCTATGGGGATGGCGAGTGCGTTGGCTTTGATTATGTCTATTGTTAGGTCTGTTTTGTTGGTTGCCTGCATTTACTAAGGTTCGTGTGGCCGAGTTTGAAATTGTTGAACCACGCTGTATTTCACAAGCACTCGACGATAGCGCTTGTATAGAGTTGCTTTGCTGTAGGCCAGCCTGATCTGAGCTGCTCTGTTCCTGTCCTCCCTTCTTTCCTTTCTTCTCCCCCCCCCCTCCCTTCTTTCCTTCCTTCTCCCCTCCCTTCTCCCTTCCCTTCCTTCTCCCCCCCTCCCCCTCCCTTCTTTCCTTCCTTCCCCCTCCCCTCCCTTCTTCCTTCTTCTCCCCTCCTTCCTTCTTTCCTTTCCTTTCCCCTCCCCTTCCTTCTCTCCTTCTCCCCTTCCTCCCTTCCCTTCCTTCTCCTTCTCCAATCCCCTTCCTTCCTTTTCCCTCCCCTCCTTCCTTCCTTTCCCTGCCTTCCTTCCTTCCATCCCTCCTTCCTTCTTCCTTCTTCCTTTCTCCTCTCCCTCCTTCCTCCTTCCTCTTTCCCTTCCTCCTTCTCCTTCAACTCCTTCCCCCTCCTTCCCTTCCTTCCGTCCTCATCCTCCCTCCCCTTCCCCTTCCCGCTTTCTTCCTCCTCTTCCCTCCTTCCTTCCCTCCTCATCTTTCCTCCTCTTCCCTTTCCTTCCTCCTTTCTTCCCTCCTCCTTCCCCCACCCTCCCCTTCCCCCTCCCCTCAACTCCTTCCCCCCTCCCTCCCCACCCCTCCTTTCCTCCCTTCCCTCCCACTCTCCCCCTCCTTCCTCCTTTCTCCCTTCCTCCACCTCCTTCCTTTTTTTCTTTCCTCCTTACCTCCTTCCTTCCTTTCCTTCCATCTACCTCCCTCCTCGCTTCCCCCTCCTTCCTTCCCTCCTCCCTTCCCTTCCTTCCTCCTTCCTTCTTCCTTCCCTCCTCCTCCCCTTTCTCCCTCCTCCCTCCTTCCCTCCCCCCACCCCTCCTCCCCTCCTTTCTCCTTTCCCCTTCCTCCCTCCCCACCCCTTCTCCTTTCTTCTCTTTCCCTCCACCTTCCTTCTTGCGCTTCGTTTCCCACCTTCCTTCCTTTCCTCCCCACTTCTTTCTTCCCCTCCCTCCTTCCTACCTTCCCTTCCCTCACCTTTCCCCTTCCTTCCTTCTTCCATTCGCCACCTTCCTTCCCCTCCTTCTTCCCACCCTTCCTTCCTTCCTCTTCTTTCCTCCCACCTTCCTTTCCTTCCTTCTTCCTTCCTTTCCTCCCCTTTCGCTCCTTCTTCCCACTTCTCCCCCCCTCCCTCCTTCCCCCCTCCCTCTCCTTCCCCCCTCCCTTCCCTCCTATTCCACCTCCTTCCTCCCTCCCTTCCCACCCTCCTTCCTTCCTTTCTCCCTTCCTCCCACCCCTCCTTCCTTCTTTCCTCCTACCTTCCTTCCTTCCTTTCCTCCCATCTACCTTCCTTCCTCCCTCCCTCCTTCTTCCTTCCTTCCCTCCTTCCTCCCCCTTCCTTCCCTCCTTCCTCCTTCCTTCCTTCCTCCTTCCTTCCTCCTCCCTCCCTCCCTCCTCTCCCTCCTCTCCTTCCTCCCTCCTCCCACCCTCCTTTCTTTCTCCTTCCTCCTTCCTCCTCCCACTTCCTTCTTCCTTCCTTTCCTCACCTCCTTCCTTTCCTCCACTTTCCTTTCTCCACCTCCTTTCCCTTCCTTCCCTCCTTTCCCTCCTTATTTCCCTCCGTTCCTTCCTCCTTCCTTCCCTACACCTTCCTTCCTTCCTTTCCTCCATTTCCTTCCTTCTTCCTTCCTTCCCTCCCACCACCTTCCTTCCTTTTCCCCTTTCCTTTCCTCCCACTTTTCCTTCCTTCCTTCCTTCCTTCCCTCCACCTTCCTTCCTTCCTTCCCTCCCTTCACCTTCTTCCTCCTTCCCTCCACCTTCCTTCCTTTCTTTCCTCCCACCTTCCTTTCCTCCCTCCTTCCTTCCTCCTTCCCTCCTTCCTTCCTTCCTTCCCTCCCACCTTCCTTCCTTCCTTCCCTCCTTCCTTCCTTCCTTCCACCCTTCCTTCCTCCCTCCTTCCTTCCTTCCTTCCTTCCTTCCTCCCACTTCCTTCCTCCCACCTTCCTCCTTCCTTCCTTCCCTCCCTTCTTCTTCCTTCCCTCCACCTTCCTTCCTCCCACCTTCCTCCTTCCTTCCCCTCCACCTTCCTTCCTTCTTCCTTCCCTCCCACCTTCCTTCCTTCCTTCCTTCTTCCTTCTTCCTTCCTTCCTCCCACCTTCCTTCCTTTCCTCCCACCTTCCTTCCTTCCTTCCTTCCTTCCCTCCCACCTTCCTTCCTTCCTTCCTTCCTTCCCTCCCACTTCTTCCTTCTCCTTCTTCCTCCCTCCTCCACCTTCCTTTCCTTGTCCTTCCTTTCCTTCCTTCCTTCCTTCCTTCCACCTTCCTTCCTTCTTCCTTCCCTCCTTCCTTCCTTCCTCCTTTCCTACTTCCTTCCTTCCCTCCTTCCTTCCTTCCTTCCCTCCTTCCTTCCTTCCTTCCTTCCCTCCCACCTTCCTTTCCTTCCTTCCTTCCTTCCTTCCTTCCCTCCCACCTTCCTTCCTTCCTTCCCTCCCACCTTCCTTCCTTCCTTCTTTCCCTCCCCCTTCCTACCTTCCTTCCTCCCTCCCCCCTCCTTCCTTCCTTCCTTCCTTCCTTCCTTCCTCCCTCCCTTCCTTCCTTCCTTCCTCCTTCCTTCCTTCTTTTCTTCCTTCCTTCCTTCCTTCCTTCCTTCCTTCCTTCCTTCCTTCCTCCCTGCCTTCCTTCCTTCCTTCCTACCTGTTTTATGACAATAGACCAAATAATCACAGATGACGAACAATATTTTATATCATCTTGACTATATCTCAATAACTGGGATAGGATTTCACATTCACTAGTGCAAGGTGGGTCACTGCCTGGGCACAGAGCTGCGTACACTAAGAAACACCCATTCTTGTCCGACTTTACAAAAAATTTCAGCCATTGATATTGGGCCCAATAAATTAGTAAACTTATATGCATAGTAACTCTGGTAACTAACTGATTGTCTTAGGTAAAGAGAAAAAGTACATTACAGGAATTTTGTAAATTATGAAAAAGGCATTTTGGTGGTTTTGTAAAAGCAACAGAAGGGTTGTACTGAGACACCATAATGATATAAAAGATGAACAGAAACTATAACATTCATTCTGTTTATTCATTCTGCAAAATACAATATGGTATGTATTATATATTCCATAGGTCAATCCTCAATATATACAGTAGTCTGTTTTGCATTATTGCTTCACTTTCACACTCTTCACATGGAAGCAGCAGCTATGAAATCTTATAAAAACTGAATTATTTCTTCTTCAACTTCATTTTCTTGTGTTCACTCTCTTGCATTTGCAGACCTCCCATAATCTGTCCAACCTTTCGTTTCCGTTCAGCATCACTGAAAAGAAAGGTAATGTTGAATTATATAATGCAACTTTTTGGTTGAAAATTTGGTCTTTTTACGATTGATGTAAAGGAGAGCAACCCAGTCAGAAAGTGCACAATCATATATAATTTAGTTACCAAAATATTTTCTGAAAATACAAATGGCTGAAAGCTATTTATGCTGTGTACCATAATGTTGATGAGCTAGATTTACTGATCTTTTACAGTAAAGTAATGCAATAAAAGAAATTACTTGATCTATAAGGTTATAACACTGGTTATTGGTTGAAAAGATAAGGGAGCATATATTCTTCAACTCATTCATCAGCAGACACAATTCAAGATATGTCTTACCTTTCAAGCTGTTCCTTCAACTTCTGTCTAGCTAAGTATGCAGTATCCTTCTCAATTTCTCTCTTTACAGCCTTTCTTTCTCGCTTCAGATTATGTAGCAGTTTCTGATGCTCCAGCTTTTCCTTGGAACCATGTCGTTTTTTCGCTCCTTCAATACTGCAATAGATTGAAGACCTTATATCTAACATCTGCAATAATATTATCAAACATATGATTTTCAAAACTGTATCACCAAAGTCCAACACTTGAAAATATATTTAACATACATCTTCTCAAAGGCCGGCTCAAACATTGGTATTGATTTGGGCTTTGCTTCTTCCTTGACTAGTGGTTTACCCTGGGCTGGCAAGGATCTAATAGCTTGGCGCAGAGCTTCCACAGCCTCTTGTACACTTTTGGGGAGATTCTCTAAGACCAAGCAATCCAGCAGTATGGTGGTTGGTCTCATAATAGCTCGAATAGATGCATGGCCTGACCAGCATTTACACACTTCTTGTAAAAGATCAAGAGTTTTCTGGAGCACATTCATTTTGAAGTCATCAGTCATCTCCTCACCTTTTTTATTAATACTTGCAAATGTAAGTTTACTACTTTCAAACCTGTAATTGAAATACATTGCCAAATTAAGTAAACACAGTTTGCATTAAATTAGTTTTGTAGTCAATAAACTACATTGCATATTTATGCTAATGAAAAATAATTTTCAGAGTATTATACTGAACCAAAAATTATATAAAACTTTTTTAAAGAAAAAGTTCTCTGCTTTAGAAACTGTAATCACAAGACTTGGTCCAAATGTTGCATGTTGGATAGATACTTAAATCAGCTAAAATATACACCCAGAAATATAACTTGGTAAGCTTTCCTCACATCATCATGGAGGGGAGAAAAGAACACAAATCCAAATAATAAAAGGAAAATAAGAACATTACAAGCTGGTGCTTACGTCATAACAGGTGCGTCTGGTACAAGAAGAGATGCAGTTGGCCCTGTGCACTTGAAAGGTGGTGTGATGGGCAATTTAGTTTTGTTCTTCATTGGCACTGACATAAACAGCAGACCATTGAGAACATTTGTCAACTCGGGCATAAATCTTTTAGACACGCTGACGTACTGTTTAAAGAGAGACAGTGAAGAAAATCTTAGCTTAGGGAAGTGGCCGACAAATTCTTAAGTTTCATGCAAGTTTTCCTGCATTAAGAAAAAAAAAGACCTTAAAAATAAGTGATTATTTTCATCCTAGCATTTTTTTTTTTTTTTTTTATCATTTAAAAATTATACCCTTTTTATAAAATACTAAGCCTATACATATTTCTATACACACATTTATTTCTATTGCTAGCAAAAAATCTGTAACCATTACAGAACTTATTAAGTGATTTTTTGTCCAAGCACTGTAATATCATTTACCTCATATGCAAGATATGCTGTGAATAATGCAGCATTAACTTCTCTTCGATTTGATATTTTGCCTTGCCCAAGCAGGTGGCAGAAGAAACCCATGACAGGTGTCATGACGGGATGAATAAAATCAGATGATGGAAAAAGCATCCCAGCTATTTTCAGGAACACAAACTGAAATTTATAAATAAAAATAAATGTAAGTACATACCATTTGTGGAATGCTTTTTTTCTTTTTTTCACATTATGCACTTTCCACTATAAATTTAGAACCATATTATCTCTCCCCATAGAAAAAAGTATATGCTCTTTTTACTAGTAGATTACAGGCTTGCAGTCCCATAAAAAATGATTTAATGCATACTTGATAGTGTAATGGACACACACACATACTCAAGTATACATTACAGCACACAAATACACACAAGCATAGTATTTACTTATTTATAGAAAATTTTCTCCCACCTCAACATCTAAGATCATTAGTAGTGTATTCAATATATAGCAATAGAGTGAGGCAAAGCCCCCAAATAAGGAAAGGTCACACAGCACTGATAAAATATTGTGGCAAAAAGGGTAAGATGAGTTAATGATTAGGACAAGATATATTTGATGTCAAGGATTGTAGAGCACTGTAGGTTAGGATGGTTGTGAAGAAGGTAAAGAGAGGAGAGCAAAGTGGCATGTACATACATGTTATTGCAAGACTGGACTCCTTTCCAGATAACATGTATATCTATGCCACACATGTGACACTGCCCTACATGTGATTTAGGAGCTACAGCCCGTTAAAAGTAGCCTTACATCATACTTCAGCCTCATTCACTAGACGATCATATATGCTGCAGCCAAAATTCTAGAGACGGGGGAAATTATATGTTACCTGTATTTCTAATCTTTCCCTCAAGCAGATGACTGTGCACAGCACCCAGTGCATGGTCCAGTTCAGTGTGTTAAAGTTCCACTGACATGAGTTAATGTCATGTAAATGAAAATTCAAACACAATGACAATAAAATCTGTTATACTTACTGTATCACCCATAGGATATCTTTTGAACTTAAATTTTGAACAGTCTCCATATTTTTCCAACAGCACCTGAAATTTTTTGAAAAGTATCATATACTATATACTGTATACTCATACTATGATCATTAACCTATATCCTTTTTTTCAAAATTTCATTCAACATCCATTTACACAACCACTTCATAATTTACCTGTTTTAATGCATTTGCTGTATTTACTGGGGATAACTGGGTAAGACTATAAATATGTTGAGTGACGCAATCCACATACAAAAGGGGCGACACAGAGTTCATGGGAGCAGCACCATCATAATCAGCTAAAACATTCAGGGTCTGGAAAATTATAAGTAGTATAAGCATAAGCATCTTTATATTAGTCCATAAACTTTACTTTTCTTGATTATTTCATGTATAACTAAGTCAAAATATATCAATGTATGCTAATACTAATAACAAATGCAGTACTAAAATAACTGCATTAATAATAATAATAATAACAATAACAATAATAATATAAATAACAATAATAATAATAAAATAATAACAACAACAATAATAATAAAATAATAACAACAATAGTAATGATAATGATAATAATACTAGTACTATTATTATAATAATATTAATATTCATAATGATAATAACACTGATGATAATCATAATAATAATTATAATAATAATCTTTATAATCATGATGATTATAATAGTAATAACAACAAAGAAAAATAATAATAAAAAACAAAAATAATAACAATAATAATAGTAATAAAACATTACAACTACTACTATTACTACAACTTATAATACTAATAATAATAATTATTATTATTGTCCTCATTATTATAATAATAATTTCATTATTATTATCATATTCATAATTATAATTATAAAAATAATAAAAGTGATAACAATAATAACATAATGATTAAAATGATAATTATAATAGTAATCATACTAATAATATAATCACAGAAATAACTACCACCAATAATAACAACAGTAATTACAATAATGATAAGGAAAAAATATTGATAATACTAATACTAACAAAACTGATAAAAATAATAACAATGCTAATTAGAACAATGATGTTTATAATAACAATAACAACTGTAATAGTAATACCAACTACAATATAAATATTAATTATACTACTCATAATAACAAAAATAAACAAAAATAATGGTAATAATAATGCTGTCATTAATATAACAATTATACTTAAGATGCCAATGGTTATCATGATAGTGATGATCTTAGTCATTATCCTTTGTGTCAACATCATCTTTCTTACACTTAAAGAAAAAATAAAGGTTATGGTATAACTTTGCTCATCACATTTGATGTGCAAATAAATGTTGGAATAAGGTCATCATTTTTACCTGCAGAAGATATGCACACAAGTAATCACACTTTTCCTTATTCTTCCCTCCAAGCTTGGGATGATTACATGCAATCATTCGCTCTAAGATAGTGTTCACTTCTCTTGGTGAGTGATTTTCTAATAATGCCCAGAATGCCTCGTAGTCTTGTGGCACTGAAAGGAACATCACATATATTACAAAGTTTTATAATATGTTATTAGTTGATAAATGCATTTTATATACTTATCTTCACCCAGGACTTACACAACAGGAAAACTTCATGCACAGCAACAAACAACAAAAATATTCATCTGGTGATGTACGATATTGGAACTCCCTCTAGCAAAAATATACATGGTAAAATTATTGCACTGTCTATTATAATAGTAAATCTCATACATCCTCACTATATTATTACTAAACAAAAACACCATATCTCTCTTCCAAAGTGTTCAAAACATCCCTTGACTATCACAACTCTTGTGGTGATGGTAAGTTATACCAGATCTAAACCAATAGTCAAAACAGTCTCCTCTTTAACACATTGCATTTTGTTGTCCATATCATGAAAAAAAATTAGGATTGTATTAATTTACTAGAGCAGGCAGAAACTTGGTGTTACTGTGATGTCATCTTCTGACACTTTCCATAATCATTAAAGTAGCTGAAAATGTTTCTTTATAAATATAATATGATTACTTACAATTTACTTTGATGATTTCTATTTGGATTTTCATAAGAATAATGGTTTGGTTTCATTCTGTGTTTCAGTATGAAAAGACATTCAGTCCCCTTTTGCATATGCATACAGTGAATTCAAAGATTTACGATGACCTGATGACCTAAAACTAAATGAGATATTAAACTAAACAACTGTTGCAGAAGATAATCAGAAATAAAATTATTTTTATATGGCCAAAGGGACTGAATAGGATAGGAGGCAGAAGCATAAGTCAAAGGCTTTTGTTATTCCTATTAGTGTTAATTTGTAATCTGTGGTTATTTACTATCATAACCAATTGACTGCAGTATATATCTTGTATGGAGCACAAACTATGAATTTTCAATTATTGTTAATCCCATATCACTATTTCTATATCTATTTTGCTTTTTTAGGCTACTGTTGTAACTGTTACTCCACTTATACTCCACTTACCTTCAAATGTATATGGCAGCTCCTTTTTGGCTGCTTCCATCATTTCCTTCTTTTTAATCACTTCAAGTGTGCCAGGCTTTTCTTTTATCTCTTCTTCCTCTTCTTCACTCTCACTTTCTTCTAAAATATCTGAGTACTTATCACTTTCATCACCATCATCATCCTCTTCTTCCTCTTCCTCTTCTTCTTCTTCTTCTGTTTCTGCTTCTGCTTCCTCTTCTTCTCCTCCTTCTCCTTCCTCTTCTTCCCCATTATCATCTTCTCCAGCTTCTGAAAATATGTTCATATAATCAATATTAGGTAAATTACGCTCACAACCAATCCTGCAAATATAATGTTTATCAACATTATTTATATCTGCTTCAACATCAGTCTACATGTCATTATAGGATTCATAAAAAAGATGGAACCCTATTACAAATCATACAAAGTCCTACCTTTCTCATCTTCAGCCTCATCATCCTCTTCATCCTCACTTTCATCTTCTGTTTGGTCTTCATCATCAGCTGTCAACATTTTGCCGTCTTTATAACTCAAAGGTACCTGGATATCTTTCTGTAATATGTACCTGTAAAGTAAAGTATATACATATTAATTAGAACACAGGTTTAGCATATGTACACACATACACATTGATAAAAAAAATGAAACATGCAGACCTCCATACATGCACACACATATACATCTAAACCCATATACATCTACACCCACATACATCCTACCTATACACACTCTCACATAGCCCATATATGGTTGCAGCAAGACATACACACACATTCAAAAATAGATGTTTACAGACACATATATGAATACTAAAAACACAAGCAAAGAAAAATACACAGATAATAAAACAAACACATGTATTGTGAACTACAACAAAACGGTGAAGGAATTTATTCCTATGGACATAGATGGCATGATTACAAGCCATTGTCCACGGTAATTTTAGTTTAATAATTGTATTTACACATAGACAGCTCCACAAGTACTTAGTCACCAAAGAGTCAATTACTAGCACTATGTATCTCAACCATTTATACTTTTCCTTGATTTTCAGAAAGACTCTTTCATATCATTTTACTATTTTTATTGTTACTAGTAATTCAATAACATTATAGTCATTAAAAAGTCAATAACAATAATAACAGTATCAATAGAGATAGCATTACAAAAAAAAAGGTTTTCCCACAAATTTGAGGAATGAGGAAACCAGGCACGTTCATTAGGGCCCACTAATTGACTCCTCGGTGGCTGAGACCTTGTGGTGCCCTTTATGTGCAATGAAATCTACAAAACACTCCAGTGGACAATATATAACCCCCAGCTATTGGATTAAGGTTTCCTTAGCCTTGGCAATTCACCTTCATAAACAAGTAGCATATAACTTTTCCATTATTCATAATCTTAACACTACATTCTTAAAATTCAATTTCCCCCATAACAATTTAGTCCTTTCACAGTCACTTCAAAGCTTACTGATCATCTAGGTCATCTGCACTCCTCATTTTTTTTACATCTTTCACTTCTTCTCCCTTCATCCGCCTCACACGATCTGCTTCCAGTTTTTCAAGCCTCTCTCTTTCTTCCTTGGCTATTTCCTCTGGTGTCTTCAACTTATCAACAGGTTTTGCCTTTCCAGTACGGTCAAATCCAAGCTCTTTGACGAGCATATCGTAGTCTCTAAAGGCACTTTTTGTTTTAGCCTGGAATGTGAGAGAAATGACATGAAGTTATTCTACAATTCATTGAGGCATTACTATATATCTGAACCCTTACAAACAAAGCATTAAACTGACATGACACATTTCATAAACATTTCAATAAGGAATCATCAACACTTATTACTTACAAAAACAATTTGGAAAATTTCTGCAGCATAAAAAAGATAGATGGCAGAACTGTTACCAAACATTTGTTCCCACTTACTGCTTGTTTGTCCTCATCTGTCATTGTATAACCAGCCATCATCATCATGAAATTTTGTAATTTGGAATCAAGGTTACTGACAGCTTCATTCTGCTCCTCTTTTTCTTTTTTGAACTCAGCCTTTTTTCGTTTTGACTCTGCTATGATCTCATCAATCCACTCTTTTTTTGTCTTGTGTTTGTCTGTATCACCTTCCTCATATTCTCGCCGTGTCAAGAAACCACCAAAATGTTGTTCTTTGACAAACTGAGCTGTTGGGCAAAAATATGAATCCATTATATCATTCCTGCTAATACAGTTCTACAAAAATTATGATATGAATTCTTTTACCAATAAAGAATAAGAAAAAGAAGAAAAAGAACAGCAAGCATAAAACTTTAAAAGGAAAAGATGTGAGAATAAAAACAATAAGCTCTTTTTTTCTCAACAAAACACCCAACCTACAGGTTACTAACCATCAAGTTTGCCTTCATCTTCATCGTCACTGAGGCTGAGCTTATCATTCAAATTGGAGTCATTAAGTGCTAGGCCACCATGAGTCAGCTCTTCATCTTAATTTGAGCTAGCTTAT